ATAGCCAATGAATTCGGTGTACCACATATTAAAACCAATAAAACAGTTCAATAATAAGTAGGGAACACACCTCGACAATAGGTTCAAATAGCAAATTTACTGATTGCTGGTTTCACCACGCTCTGCTACAATTTTCGAACGGGTGAATACTGGCACACGTGGTTTAACTGATCTAGAAAAGCTGGGTCGAGCTGTCGAACGATCCGGAGAGTCTCTTGATCAAATAAATCATCAATCATGGGTAGTGGGTATTTATTCTTGACCGTCATCTTGTTCAATTTCCGATAGTCAATACATAATCTTAGCGACCCATCCTTCTTTTTCACGAACAGAACTGGAGCTCCCCATGGTGAAGTACTATGTCGGATAAATCCTCGATCGAATAATTCTTGCAATTGGACTTTCAACTCTTTAAGTTCCCTGGAGCCATACGATAAGGTGCTATAGAAATAGGTGACGATCCCGGATAGTCTCAATCTCGAACTCTACCTCTCTATCAGGAGGTAACCCAGGCAACTCTTTCGGAAAAACATCAGGAAACTCGCTAACTGTACGAATCTCCTCGATCGTGGACAATGCACCCTTGGTGTTCAAAATACAAGCAATGAAGGTCTCATATCCCTTCCGGATCATACGATCAATTTCCATCGCTGAAACTATATTGGAGAGATAACCACGCCGTTCACCAATTAACACAACAGTCCCACCATCTGAAGTCTTCAGAGTAGCCCGCTTGTATTCGCAATCCAGCTTTACCTTGTGTTTATTCAACCAATCCATTCCAAGAATTAGATCGAACTCCTCTAAAGGAATCTCCATAAGATCAGCGAGAAAAATTTCTCCCTGAACCTCGAGAGGACAACGCCGGAATACTTTATTCACTAATACCACTTGTCCTACTGGACTTGTAACTGTAACAGTATTTTCAGTGTTCTCGATCGGAATCTGAAGGTTTCGAGATACTGAGCTCGATACATAGGAGTGAGTGGAACCATTGTCCAATAATGCAAAGTATGGGGTAGAATAAATAATAAATGTACATGCAATAACCTCAGGCTCATCTCTGTCATCACGACGTCTAGTTGCATAAACCAAAGCTGGTTGTCTAGCCTCAGAAGCTGTTGGCCCTCTATTTTGCTGAGGTCGGGCTCTACTGTCTGTCCTGGACGCTGATCCTCGAGTCTTTCCTTGACTACGATCTCTAATTGGGGTCTGTACTGTACTCTGCGAACGCACAGGAGTTTGGGTAGTGGTCTGCTCAAACGAAATTAACTGAGGACAATCCCTCCGATAATGACCACTAGATCCACACTGATAGCAAAGACCCATCTTCTTACGACACTCTCCTGAGTGCTGTTTACCACAATACTCACAAAGGGGCCCATTATAATACGACGAGGAACCGCCTCGACTGACAGCTAAAGGTGAGGATGTTGCAGGCCTGAAACGTGTATTGCTTCTCTGAGGGGCTGAAGTACGAGTCCTCTTTCCGGACTGTGTTGATGACTCCATCGGGCCTGAAAATTTCTTAGATCGATCTTGATCAACACGCTCTCTACCAGAAGCTAAAACCTCCACCTCTTCCGCATCTTTGGCTCTGCCCACCAGCACATCAAATATCTCATCCTGATGGGTTACACTTGCCTACGCAGCTCGTATCTGAGTCCAAGGGCAAATTTACGACATCGATCTCTCTCCGTAGGTACCATACTGAATCCATACTTCAGCAATTTCAGGAACTCGATCTCATATTCAGAAACAGTCATGTCTCCCTGAACCAGGTCTTGAAACTGTTGTCGTCTCTGAGCTATGTAGCGCTCTCCCAGAAAACGACTCCGAAAGTGATCCTTAAAGAAATTCCAGGTCAAACGATCGGTAGGAACACTACTGGTCACTGACTCCCACCAAGTGTAGGCATTACCATCTAACATTGCTACAGCACCCAGATATCTCTTAGTTGAGTCCAAACCCAACTGATCCATGCGTCTCTCTGTATCCTGGAGCCAATCCTCAGCTTCAGTAGGAGCTCCACCAATCTGTCCCCCAAAGTTCTAACTCCATTGGCAATCAACGTCTGTGAAATAGGAACCTCAGATACAACACCAGTAGCTCTAACTGCTCCCTGTATTAACTGCAGAAACTGTCTACTAAAATTCTCATCCAATGCAACTCCAGTAGACTCTGACTCAATATCGGTCGCTCCTATGATCGGTGTAGTCATGCCAATACCATCGGTAGGTGGCATATTCGTTGGTGTCGTAGGAGCAGGATCACCTATTGGAGGTGGGGGATCTACTCGTATCTCATCAATCGGATCTGCAAATCTAGCTACTCGACCTCGTCCACGACTAGTTCGACGACCACGTCTAGCACTCATTTTGGTAGATCTCGAGATTACTACAGAAGATAAACTTAAGGTTAGATAAGCACTTGGAGTCTCGAACATAGTTAAAATCTTAATAACTTTGTGACATGGCCTTAGTAACTCGTTTTGTAAAATATTTCAAAACTGTATTTTCAATGTGGACTCATACACAGTCCGATGGTTAAAAACCAAAAGCTCTGATACCAATAAATGTAACCCCCTAGACCCGGCCTATGCGTTTCGACTAAGTCTAGTGGATCACATTATGATTATTAAAGACATTTTTCGAAACTGTTATTCCATCAATATAAAATCACATTATAAATAACATGAAATTATAAACAAATTATACTATCAAAATTCAACTCGTAAATATAGTACCAATAAATAATAATTTAATTTAAAACTTGTCTTCAAATTCAATATCACAATAAACCGAGCAGTATTAGCAAAAGAGTTATCATTATAAAATCCGATATTTTAAAATAAGGTCCATGTCACCAAAATAAAGTCAACTTGCCAGATAAAAACATTACAATTTGATTTACTTCAAGAGATATGTTGATCCTCCAAGTGCTCGAACCAAGGTATCTAACCAACAGTATCTGAAAGGGGAAAACATTTTCAAAAGGTGAGCTAGGCTCAGTGTGTCCCAACATTTCCATAAAATCACAATAGGTACAAATCATAGTCCAGTAATCTCACAAATTCGTAAAAGAGTTTAACTTTTTGAAAATCATAGTTTAAACCCTTTTCTGGTACACCATCAGTAGTTCCCAAAAGTATTTTCCATATAGCTTACTTTATGCACATAGCAAAAAGAAAGCCGACTTAAGGATAGGCTATGAAGCTTGTATCCTTAAGCCCAAGTCAATAAGTCCATATAGCTTACCCTAAGCACACAGCAAAGGAAAGCCGACCTAATGAAACATCTTGGGGCCCTTAAGAGTCACATTAGGCCCAGTTAGCTTGATCAGAGCTATTCCATCGTATTTCAATTCCAAAATTCAATTGCACCGTGACATAAATTCCATAAATCCAAAAACATGGTAATCATATACAATTTCAAAACAAAAATTAGATAGCAGTCATATTTCATAAATTGTCACATTAAATTGGTGCATCCATAAAACAATAGCCAATGAATTCGGTGTACCACATATTAAAACCAATAAACAGTTCAATAATAAGTAGGGAACACACCTCGACAATAGGTTCAAATAACAAATTTACTGATTGCTGGTTTCACCACGCTCTGCTACAATTTTCGAACGGGTGAATACTGGCACACGTGGTTTAACTGATCTAGAAGAGCTGGGTCGAGCTGTCGAACGATCCGGAGAGTCTCTTGTACCTTCAAACAATAATAATCTATCAGTCCCAAATCCTATTTAATTGTTCAAAGCTAGTCTTCTTAAGTATATAAGCATTTTTCGAGTTTGACTATCAATTTGGGGTATTTCGAGTCTGAATTTGGCCAAACGGATTGCGGAAACGGAATCAGGACGTCGAAAAATATAAAAGTATGACTTTTCGGAAATTCAGATTCTTGGTCAAAGTCAAAGTCAAAGTTAACCACTTTGACCGTCGATTTGGAGACCTTCGGGTTTGAATTTGGCGAAACGGACTGCGAAAATGGATTTGGCACGTCGAAAACTATCAGGATAGGTATACTCGGAAAAGATTTACGGTCGTTTAAGGGTCGGTCAAAGCCATTTTAAGATTTAGTCAAAGAAAGTCAACGGTCACGGTCAACGGTCACGGTCAACGGTCAACGGTCGGGTCGGGTCAACAGTCGGGTCGGGTCAACCCGGTTCAGACCGGTCAAACCGGTTCTTGACCAGTCAAACCGGTTCGAACCGGTTAAACCGGTTCAAAACTGGTCAAACCGGTTTTCCAGCAGCTCACTCTCCCTGCGGCGGCGCGTGCGGCGCGTGAACAGTGCCACGGTGTCGGAAAATTCCCGGAAAAATTTCTAAAAATTATTTTGAGCGATTCCGAGATACTTACAACGATCGGTTCAAATTTTTGAACGGCGGAGAGCTCGTATTTCAACTCGGCCGAATCTTTGACTGCTCCACCTCCTCACGCGCCGCCGTCGACGGCGAACAAGGTTGACACCGGCGGACTCGAAACGACACAAGGAACACGATGGTGCAGGAGGTGTCGTAAATGGAACAACGATCGGCGGTGAATTTAAGTTTTTCCCGGCGATAGAGCTAAAAAAAACGACGATGCTTTGACTGAAAATTCCCGACGTTTGGCAGCGTTTCACTTCAATTAATTTGAAGGGTTTGTTCCTCGCTTGATGATGAACACAACGGTGGTTTCAATTTTACGATTGGACGTCGAACGACGTCAGAATCGGGCTTGGAAGTAAGGGTACGAGAGAAGGAAAATTGAGCAAATTCTCAATTGTGTTTTCTGATTTACAATCAGAAACCACGCTTAAATTATAAGCCTGTCGACACTCCTTGGAGGAATTCAGGGCTTGGTCCCTGAATTTCCTTCAACTTATAAAATGGCCTATAACTTTTCATAAATTTTAGTTCAGTCATTAAATTTCACCAATTTTCACAATTAACGTCCAATTTCAATTAAATATTATTTTGTAAATATTCGGGTTGTTACAAGATACCTGCTCATTCTAGCAAATTTCTTACACTTCAGAGAAAACTATTGAAGGCACTGCAGCTGGTATAACATCTGTCCTCGCTGCTTGCTTGGTTCTTGTTCCACTTTTGGCATCCACTGGATACATTCTAGCTCAGGTTTCTCTCTCTCTCTCTCTCTCTCTCTCACCCACCACATACGCACACTGACATTCTTATGTTGACTGAGATATTCATCATTAGCACATCGTGGTAACTTAGCCTGGAATGAATTTGTTCACTTAAACACCCTATGTGGGTACTTCAGGTTGTTTATTTAGTTTTTTTCTTCTCGCTTTCTTTTAAATGATCTTGTTAAGTTGTTCGAATTAGTTTCATGGGCCTAATTGAGTGTTTGGATTATTGTTACATTGCAAATATTTGATTACTTAAATCTCAATTTCCACAGCACTGGCTCCCTGTTTTAATAGTTGTGACCACAAGCGGTCTGTTGGAGGCCTACACAACGCAACTTGATAATGCTTTCATACCACTTGTCTTCTACAGCCTCCTTTGTTTGTAAATGCACACTTCAACCTTCCAGAAAGCTTAAACAGATGAGAATTCCTTACATGCTTCCCGTCTAGAGGTTTTTTCTTTTTTATTCTTTAGTAGATATTACTAACTGCCATCAGGGAATACAGAGAGTCTGTTGCATACCATGCCCCTTGTAGTTTCATAGTAATCCAGAATTGCTCGTAAGGTGACCCTAATGTTTTATACTTTGTTGGACTTGGCAGTTATGAGCCCTCAAAAAGGGGTAAAAGAATGTTTAATGTTAAGCAGTCTTTCTGATCTGATTCTAACATTACTTTGGTAATTCATCTTAAGGCAATCTTGCGCCGTTGTAGTAAAATCATAGTGCCATTCTATTCATTTCTTTGAATAACTTTTGCTTCGCTTCTTGCCTTCCATTGTATATCCAAGATGTGCAGGCCTAATGTGCTAAGCCCTGCTTCGTGGCATTGGCATTTCACTCCCGAGCCCTCCATGTAATAAGTCCCCATGAACATGAATGGACAAATTTAAATAACGAATGGTATTATAATGGTAAGTACCAGTTATGGTGTTTATTTCAATGTTCATTTTATTAATAAAATCTTAATAAATTATATTATGATAAAAAATGCCTATTTCAAAATGTTTTAGATAATCTTCATACTAAATAGTTTTTTTTTATCAACTGATTTTTTTCCATCAAACTTCAATCTAGTTTGTCTAAAAATTCTCGAAACAATTTAACAGCAAAGTTGGTAAAAATACTGAAAAGTGATTGAAAAAAGTACACTAGATCGAAGATGAAATTCAAACACTTGTAAATATAAAGACCAAAAGTATTTTTATTGTTTCAGAAAACTAGTAATGGTATTAGAAACGAAAACGCGAAATACACCGTAGGGTTGAATATATATGGATACCCCAACGGCTCACAAGGACATAGCCTGTTAAACCCTATACCAAATCATTGAATAACCGTCTGTGAAGAGAACCCTAGGTTAAAAAGCCACCAAACAAAGGCCACGAAAACTGATGGCAACAATAACAAAAACTCCTCTCTACCTCTGGCTCCATAGGTAGGCTATAAATACTCGGCTTGAAACCCACCACAAGAGAGGTGTAACCATAAGTTAGGTTACGCTTACTTGATGATTGTTGGAGGTTATGCTTACTTAATGCTTGTTTCAATCAGATAAACCAGCTTTACTCTTGAGATGCTGCTTGAAGTCCATAATGTCACCACCCCACCGTGTTACAGCTTGATTTTCACACACCCAAATCTCCTCGGCTACCTGGTTTATCAGCCGGAAATCATGACTCACAAGTACCATGCCACCATCCCATTCATTCAATGCTTCAGCCAGTGAATCAATTGTCTCGATATCTAAATGGTTAGTGGGCTCATCCAGCAGCAGTAAGTGGGGTTGTCGAAATGCTAACCATGCAAAGATGACCCGACTCCTCTGTCCATCCGATAGGTTCTTCATTGGCATCACTTGTGCTTTCCCTGTCAATCCAAACTTCCCGATTGAACCTCTCATTTTCTCCTCCTCATTTCCAGGGTACTCTTTTATCATGTATTGGAGCGCAGACATTTCCATGTCAAGTTTCTCTGCCAAGTGCTGATGGTATTGTGCAATTCGGAGATGATTATGACGTCGGACCATACCATCAGTGGGAGTCAATTCACCAGTCATCAGTTTCAGCAGTGTACTCTTCCCCGCACCATTAGGCCCAACTAGTGCTATCCTCGAGTCCAAATCTACCCCAAAGTCCAAGTTCTTGTAGATGAGATTATCAGGTGTATACCCAAAAGCAACTTCCACAAACTGCAGTACAGGTGGAGGAAGTTTTCCAACATCAACAAATCGAAATACCAGAACCTTATCCTGGATTACCTTCTCCGTGAGTCCACCTCGCTCCATCTTTGCCAATGTTTTTTCTTTACTCTGTGCCTGTCGAGCTAGTTTTGCCGACCCATGACCAAAGCGAGCAATGTACTCCTTCATTGAAGCAATCTGTTCCTGCTCCCATTTGTACTGTTTCATCTGGTTCTCCTCCAACTCAACACGAGTTTGAACATACTGATCATAGTTCCCAGTGTATAGCTTAAGTGTTTTGCTCTGCATATGGATAATATTTGTACAGACTCCGTTCAGGAAATCCTGGGAATGGGAGACCACAACAAGGATACGATCAAATTTCTTCAAATTTTCTTCCAACCAGACACAAGCTTCTAAATCTGTTTCAATCAAGTCAAGCGTACACATCAGAATTGAGAAGCATAGAGAGAAAAGTTCTCTATGTCAGAAAACTTCTATAAATGAAAGTTGAAACACGGAGTCGTACAAAATTACCAATAAAGACCTAAATGAATTATTCATGGGCTATGAAGAAGAAAAGAATAATGGGGATCATGAATAATGCCCATGAATTAACCATATAAATGAACATCTAAAAACATAATGTGTACAAAATCCATACCTAAATGATTGGTGGGTTCATCAAGCAGAAGAATGGTCGGGTTAATGAATAGGGCCCGTGCTAATGCAATCCTCATTCTCCAACCACCAGAGAAATCTCGTGTTTTCTTTGCCTGCATCATCTTGTCGAAACCAAGACCAAATAAGATTTCAGCAGCACGTTTCTCAGCAGTTGATGCATCCAATGCATCTAATCGCTCATAAATGTGTTCAAGTTGCTCTCCACCACCATCATCCTAAAACAAACTCAAAAGTAAACAAGGAAAAAATTGTTATATAGACATTTTTATGAAAAATATAATGATTGTGGCACAAGGTTAGCTGAATAAACCTGTGCTGCCAACATTTCTGCTTCTTTCTCCAATTTCAACCTCTCTTCATCACAACTCATGACAGCCTCCAAAGAAGACATGTCTGAAGCTTCAATCTCCCTTGTCAGATGATAAATATCCATATGCTCTGGAATCGGAAGTTCCCGCAATCCTATTGCAGTCAGCAGCGTGGATTTCCCACAACCATTTAATCCAAGCAAACCATAGCGCCTGCAAAGATTACATGGAATAGAAAGTGGTATCATGAGATAAAAATCACAAAACCAGATTATACTATGAATATTCCCAAGCGACATGTGAAGGTCATCATACCTGCCATAGTTAAGCTCCAACGTTGAATCAACAATAAGATCGTGTCCATGGAAAGTAACTGATAAGGACTCTATCTGCAACAAGAAAATATGTTCAGCATCAATATAAACTATGACCCTGGCCATTTTTCTTTGACACACAAAAATTCCATTTACCTCCTATAACGGAAACCATAGAATATACCTAAAAGGTTAACTAATTTGTCTACATTCATAAACAGAAAATCAAAGACCAATTAGTCACTCCAACAAAATAAGCCAAAAAAAAAGTTTTACATATTCTCTTTCCCTCAAAACAATTTAGCATAAGAGGAATCAAATACTAACACTTATTCCAATAATCAACAAAACAAAGAAATAAAATCACATTTAATCTCACAAAGAACGTATCTTTCGACTTACACGAATATCTCTGGAAAGAGGATGCGAGCAGAGAACACCGGTACAAGTCCGATCAGATATCTGGAGCATACTAGCTTTATCAGAAACCTTATCAACGCCGTTGTCTGCGTTCGCGGTTGCCGCCGCCTTGGAAGATGCAGCGGCAGCGGCCGCCTTTCCACCTCTCTTCGCAGCCGCAGCAGCCTTCTTCTGAGCAGCCTTCTTCTTGCTGGCGTCCGAGACCATCTTCAATCTGACCACCACAACAGATCAAGAGTCATGTAATTAAATAAATATAATAAGTTAAATATGGAACAATATATCAATATACATCCATCAGTTGAGGGAAGACCGGAGAAGGTAAAAATAGATCTGGCGTTTGAACTTACGTATTTTTGTGGTGCTACAGTGCGATGATGGAGAGCAACAATTGAAAGCTAAAACTTCGAAAATTAGGGTTTGAAAGATGGTGCAGCTTTCGGAAGAGAACAGCTACAAGTAAGGTATAGGGAAGGAGCAGGGGACACGTGTACGGTGTATCGCCACCGACTTCGTTTTTGAACGGACCTGAATCTGCCTATCATAGCTTCAACAAAACGTTGTCGCTTCAAGGTTAACAATTTCAGCACGTTTTTAGGTCTCCTTCTGAATTTAGTCACTTCCTTTAATTGTTTTGGCATAATGGCAAAAAGCCCTAAACGTTCGTCATATTTTTCAATTACACTCTTAAAGTTTTTTCTTTAATAATTTAAACTCTAAAGTTTTATTTTTTCAAATAAACTCCTTCTGAATGATCAACTAGCAGTTAATATTTTTACTGACATGACATGATAACAATAAAAGTGTAGAATTTTAATTTCTTTCATTATTTTACCCTTTTTAACTCTGGATTTATATTTGTATCCCGTCTTTTATTAAAATAACTAAAAATCATAACTTACTAATTGAAAACAATTTAATATATCTATAAACAATTTTTTATCAATCTATCTGTGATTGTATTTCGAATGGACTTAATTTAATTATGTATTCTACTTCTAAAATTATTCATTTTTTAATTTGAAGCTTAAATTTTTAATTTTTTTAAATATGTAAAAAATTTAAAATATATGGAAATTATAAAATATTAAAATTTGACTTTGAACATAATTAATCGATCATTTATTAATACTGATCGAATTGATTTATTAAATTCAATTTAATTTTTAATTTTGTAAATATATATAATATTAATTTTATATTTTCTTTTAGTATATAAATTTATTAAATTTATATATTTTAAAATTGTTATTGAATTTCTTATATACTTTTAAAACTTTATACATGTTTAATAATTTATATTTTTATATATAAATTTTCAAAATTGTTTTAGAACTTTTCAAATTAAACTATTTCAATTTATGAAGTAATATATAATTTGCATATTTTATAACTTTTAAGATATTTAATTTTTATTTTTTGTTATTTTATGAAAAAAAATAATTAGTTTTTTAGGATATATATTTTATTTTATCCAAAATTATATATTTTTATAATTATAATTATAATTTTATAAAATCATATTGG